AAAAACTGGAAAAAAAGAAAGAAAGGAAAAGAAAATGGATAAGGAAAACCAACAATAATGTTAATAATAGTTTCTATTAAGGAAATTAGATATTTGTGACCACCAGCCCCAGGATGCTTTTCCTCTTCTCTCCTCCCCGTTAATTAATATATATAACTTAATACAGAAATAAATGTTTCCTTTTATATTAGTAATTTTTTTAAAGGTTTATTTATTATGTTTATAGTGTTTTGTCTGCATGTATCCCTGCAGGGCAGAAGAGGGCACTAGACCTCACTATGGATGATTATGTTTTTGGTGGGAATTGAACTCAGGACCTCTGGAAGAGTAGTAGACAGTGCTCTTACTGCTGAACCATCTCTCCAGAACCCCTTTCTTAGTAATTTTTGTGGTGTGAAATAGAGCACCAGATAAGATGTAGACCCACAGCCTGCCATTTCCCATCAGATGTCTCAAGTGTCTCATGGTCATCTTACACACTTGATTGTTTTGTTTTGTTTTTATTTATTTATTTTATTTTTTATTTTTATTTATTCATTCCAATATTTACACTTCCTTCCTCCCTCCCAACCCCTCCCGCTCCCCTACTTACCCTCATCTCTCCCTCTCCCTGCTTAAGAGAGGGCAGGGAACCCTGCCCTGTGGGAAGTCCAAGGCCCTCCCCGCTACATGCAGGCCTAGGAAGCTGTGCATCCATATAGATTAGGGTCCCAAAAAGCCAGAACATGCTGTAAAAACACGTCCCAGTGCCTTTATCAATGGCTTCTCAGTCAGTCCCTATTGTCAGCCACAATCAGAGAGTCCGGTTTGATCACATTCTCGTTCAGACCCGGTCCAGCTGGATTTGGTGAGCTCCCATTAGAACAGGCACACTGTCTCAGTCGGTGGACCAACCCCTCGCGGTCCTGACTTCCTTGCTCATTTTCTCCCTCCTTCTGCCCTTCAACTGGACCTTGGGAGCTCAGTCCAATGCTCTGATGATGGTCTCTGTCTCTATCTTTATCTGTTGAGGGATGAAGATTCTATGGTGATATTCGAGATAATCATCAGTGTGATAGTGGGGCAAGGACAGTTCAGGCACCCTCTCCTCTGCTGTCCAAGGACCTAGCTGGGGACGTCCCTGTGGATACCTGGGATCCCCTCTAGAGCCAAGTCTCTTGCCAACCCTAAAATGGCTCCCTTAATGTAGATATCTTCTTCCCTGCTCCTATCTTTCCTCCATCTCCACCCTCCCACTCCCCCAAGCTCTCACCAGTCTTTCCCTTCTCCCTTCCTTCTCCCCCTCTCCCTTTCCCCCAATCTCACCCCCACCCCTACCTTTACCCCCTTGCTCCCAACTTTTGCCCAGCAATTTTGTTTGCTTCCAATTTCCTAGGAGGATCTATATATGTTTTTCTTTGAGTTCACCTTGTTATTTGGCTTCTCTAGGCTTGTGAACTATAGGCTTAATGTCCTTGGTTTATGGCTAGAGTCCACAAATGAGTGAGTACATACCATATAGGGACACTGTCATTAAGACAGAAAGGCATCCTACTGAATAGGAGAAGATCTTCACCAACCCCACATCAGACAAAGGTCTGATCTCCAAAATATATAAAGAACTTTAAGAAACTAGACTTTGAAATTCTAATTAACCCAATTTAAAAATGGGGTACTGAACTGAACAGAGAATTCTCAACAGAAGAAGTTCAAATGGCCAAAAGACACTTACGGTCATGTTCAACTTCCTTAGTAATGAGGGAAATGCAAATCAAAACAACTTTGAGATGTCATCTTACACATGTCAGAATGGCTAAAATCAAAAACACCAATGATAGCCTATGCTGGAGAAGTTGTGGAGTAAGGGGAACACTCATCCATTGCTGGTGGGAATGCAAACGTGTGCAACCACTTTGGAAATCAGTAATGGCGATTTCTCAGAAAATTGGGAGTCAACCTACCTCAGGATCCAGCAGTTCCACTCTTGGGGAATATACCTAAGAGATGCCCAATCATATTACAAATGCATTTATTCAACTATGTTCATAGCAGCATTATTTGTAATAGCCAGAACCTGGAAACAACCTAGATGCCCCTCAATGGAGGAATGGATAAACAAAGTGGAAATATATACACATTAGAGTACTACTCAGCGGTAAAAAACAATGACATCTTGGATTTTGCATGCAAATGGACGGAAATAGAAAACACTATCCTGAGTGATATCACCCAGACATACTGGATTTTAAAATTTCATTGTTGAAGCCCATAATGACAGTTCATATGTTGTAAATTGTGATCAATACTTTATATGATTCTTGTTGTGTTCCCTGTGTTAGATTGTTAAAGAACTACTCATTTCAGAGGTAGATGTTGTCATTACCACTAAACTAGGAAACTTAGTAAGAAAAAAGAAAATGAAAGATCTTACATCTCAGTAGTGCAGTGGTTGTGCAAGCCTTTAATTCCTGCACTCAAAAGGCAGAGGCGGGCAGATCTCTGTGAGTTTGAGGACAGACTGATCTACAAAATGAATTCCAGGACAGCCACGGCAGTTATACAGAGAAACCCTATATAGAAAAACAACATCAAAAAAAGTTTTTATGTCTCACCACCTAGATATAAAAAAAAGTTAATGATTTGGCAGATATATTTATATGTACATGTATTAATTTAGAACTATAGCAGATAAAAATCTCATTGAAAATGATTCATTTCATTTGTTTATACAAAAGAATAGTTTTGTAGAGTTTTTAGTTCATATGCTATAATGTCATTTTCTATAGTTTTGTTTGTTTGTTTTCCAAGACAGTGTTTTTCTGGGTAGTCTCAACTGTTTTGGAACTCACTCTGTGGACCAGGCTAGCTAGCAGCTCAGAGACCCACTTGCCTCTGCCTCGCAAGTGCTGGGAATAAAGGTGAGCACCACCACCACCCAGCTATTTTTTGGATAGTAATTATAAGTTGTAAACTTAAAAATTAGTTTGATTCTCTATTGAATGGAATTCTTTTTTTTATTAGAAACTATGATATTTGCCATGTCAGCTATCCTTTGATTTTTCAAATGGATTATCTCCACATTAGGAACTGAGAGATAAATATTATGTTTTCATAGGCCATATAGTAAATAACATAAACAAATATTGCTTATGTTTTAAGGATTTATTTATTTATTTATTATGTTTATATACATGCCTGAAGAGGGCACCAAATCTCATTATAGATGGTTGTGAGCTACCGTGTGGCTGCTGGGAATTGAACGTCTAGAAGAGCAGCCAGTGCTCTTAAATTCCGAGCCATCTCTCCAGCCCCCAGATATTGCTTATTAATAGCTAATCAGACACAGGATGAGTTTTATGAAAGAACAAATAAGCAGTTTGCTAAAAAATATTTGCCAGTCATATGTACTGTTTAAATTAGCTTGAACTATAAAGTATGAAAATGTTCACTTTTCTTTACAACTTTTGTTTTCTGTTTCTTATCTACACTATTTCCCAGTTAATTTGCATCTGTTCTGCCAACTGCAAAGCCTAACTTTAAAATGATGATGATACATGTTTGATCCCAAAGTTTTACTTTTACACGAGTCATTTTTGTTTTTAATTTATAGATACCATCACAGCCATGTTAGACTGCGCAGTCAGGCCTGTTCTTCAGGCCATTTTCCTTAACAGTAATTGCTTTGAACATCTCATACGACTTCTACAGAACTGCAAGGTACTATATTACCAACTTTTTATATTTATGAACATTTGTTTGTTTGCCTATTTACTTATTTGTGTACAGGGACGTGTGCCACAGCATGAATGTGGAGGTCAGAGGACAACGTGTGGGAGTTGGTTCTGTTTTAGCATGTAGGACTTAGGGATTAAACTCAGGTTGTCAGGCTTGGCAACAGTGCCTTATCCTTCTGAGCCATCTTGTTGGCATTGTTTATGACTTTTTAAAATGTTATTGTTTTAGTAGGGCATGCCTTTGATCTCAGTGCTTAGGAGACAGAGGCAGGTGGATCTCTGGGAGTTTGAGGCCAGATTTGTCTATGTAGTGAGTTCTAGGACAGCCAGGGCTACATAGTGAGACCCTGTCTCAAAAAATCAAAAAACCAACAAAAACAATAACAAAGGTTTGTTTTGATTCAGATTTGAGCATGCCATTGCAAAAAATTTTATTGTCAATTTGTGTTTGCAGTTCTTTATATTGCCAAGTTTTATCTTGATTGTATTAGCATATTACATATATCCTCTTCCCATCTTAGAGGTGAGAAAAGTGAGGCACAAAGATTTATACCCTGTCCAGGATCACAGACCCAGTGGACAGAAGTAGGACTCCAGCCAAGGCTGTCCTCTCTGATGGTGTGTAGTTATCACTGGGTACTCTGCCTCTCACACTCTCACTAACTCAGCCTAGGCTAGGAAGAGGGCAGCAGCATTCAGTTCATACATTCTGGTCCAGGAACTAGGCAGATATTTAAATCCTCCAAGCTCAGAAAAACCTGTTAAAGCAATCTACTCACTGTCTACATGGGGACAGGCTTCATCTTAATTGAAGCTAGAATTATATTATTTATAATTATCTGAAGGTAGTAAAGCTCATGTGAATATTTGTGTATGATATTTTAGTTTAGGAAATATTTTATTTTCCAACAGACATTGATACATATATTTATATTTAGGACCATTTAAAGTCATGGACTACTGATTTCTTGATTCACTAATTTCTCTAGAACATACAGATATGGTCAAGGTCCTCATGTTGTGTGGCAAGCACTTGTGTTCACTGAGTCATCTTCCCAACCTTCTTTTTTTTAAAAAAAAAAAATCAGAAACTCTTTTTTTTAGACTGGTTTCAAATCACAGGCATCCACCTGCCTCTGCTCCCCAAGAGTTGGGTTTAAAGGCATGGACCCATTTCTGCCCAGCTTCAGATAACACTTTGAAGTTTTATAAATGGAACTCTATTTTTAGTAGAATATGTAGTCATAGGGCATAGACTAGACCCAAATGTTTTTAAAAGTAGGAAAATTTGCATTAATAAGTTGCAATTAAGTAGAAAGTATAGAAAGCTAGAAAAATAATAGAAACACTGTTAAGGCTCATGGTACATGTTACTAGTTTGCTTTTCAGTGTTGTTACTATTTACCAGTTTATACTTGTAACACAGTTTGAGAGAGTGAGGGCACAACAGTTAATGTTTCTGCCCTTCTTATTGTATGCCCATGGATTTAAGATGTTATCAACAGTTTTTAGAAAGGTTAGAAATGAAACTGCACCATAGATCTTATATCTTTCTGTTAATTCTTCTACTTCCTAGTTGAAAACAGTTGGTTGATTCTAATATTCCTCAGTAAGGATTTTTCTTTTTCTCACTGTAAAACGATATATCTTTGAATTTTTTAATATTCATTTCTTACTTTATAATAATAATATAGTTTAATAGAGCAGAAAATGCATTTAATATATTGATGAAGTCTGTAATAATACAAATTTCAGAAGTTGTCCAAAACTCCTGAATACTGGTTAGTCGACATTTCTTACCTCCTGTGTTTTATTTTAAACCTTATATCTTTTAAGTATTATTTATGTGAAAAATATTATAGAGAGCTGAAAATGCACAACAGAAATATTTATAAAACACTTTTATTGTAAAGACAGTATGACTTTCTCACTTAGGAAGATAGCATCAGTAAGTTATCTCGTGATTATTAAAAGAATCTGGATTTAGCAGGTGTTGATGGCTCATGTCTTTAATCCCCACACCCTCACCCTGAAATTTGCCAAGATGAACTTCTCTTTAGTGTATGAATAAGTCTAGTATGAACAGTGCTTTTTCTCATAGCTAACCAGAATGATGACCTCACAGTTACGTGTTACAGAGTGATACAGTCCAAGAAATACATCTTCAGGATGGACATCACCAAGTGTACTTCCTCAAACTAAGATAGATATAACTCACCAAGTGATAGAATCTTGTAGGATCACTGTCAAATAGTGATCTGTTATTTACCAAAATGTCGTCATGTAGCACATGACTATACTTGTTCCACGACAGCCATGTTTCATAGTTATAGCTCTTGTGCTTGTTCTTTAGGTAGGTTTCACTCTATAACCTGGGCTTGCCTCAAACTTTCTGTGGGACTGTCTTTGAAGTTCATAGCAATCCACCTGCCTCAGCTTCCCAAGTGCTAGCTTTAAAAAAGTTAAATATTTTATGTCACTTACTACATTTTTCTTTGAAATTGAAAATACCAAAGAAGAAATGATTTTCAGGAGGGAAAGCCAGACCTTTGGACAAGTCCCTTCCCTTTCAGTTGTTTTCTCCATTTGGGTTTCATGTAGTACTTATGACCATCTTTGCTGTTTGATCATGTTTATCCATTCTTCTGCCCTTGCCGTCAACACCCCCACATCCTTCCGAATTCTCAGTAGTTCCTCTTCTACTTGAATCAATTGCTTTTTTGTTTGTTTGTTTTTCCATATATGAGGTAGAACATGTGGCACTTGTCTATGTGTTTCGTATTATATCTCATTCACTTTGCTTCAGGTGACAGAATTTAAATTTTTTTGCCCCTTAGGTTAACATTAATACCACATTATATGGTGTGCCATATTTTCTTTGTCCATTCGATGGTTGACACACTTCTGGGCTGGTTATTCTCCTAACTGTTGTACATAGTCCAGGAGTATAACAAGCATGCGAGTGTCGTTTGTTCATTGATCTTATTTCCTTAGATATATACCAAGGAGTGGGAGAACTGGATCATATAACAGTTCTATTCTTAGTTTTTTGAGATATGTCCATACGGTTTCCCTTTAGACTGTGCTAATTAATATTCCTACCAGAAGCATAAGGGTTCCACACTCAACATTAAAGAAATTTCGCCATTCAGGCAGTAATTGTTTCAAACATTAAAATTAAATCTTTAAAATAAATTTTCAAATTTACTCATTATATAAGTGAAGAAATAATGCCCTGAGGTGTTAAATTACTAACTCTTGATCTAATAATTTTTGGAATTAGGATTTTTATACTCATGTTTTCATTATAATATATAATTACTACAAATTTGTTTCTCATTCAGGATTATTGATTTTTAACTAGTATCAAATGTTGACTGTGTATTAAATATAAGACAATTATAAGTTTTGGGTTTTTTTTTAATTTTTGTTGTTTTGTTTGGTTTTTCAAGACAGGGTTTATCTGTATTACAATTTCACTGTCCAGGAACTTGCTTTGTAGACCATGCAGGCCTTTAACTTAGAGAGATTCACTTACCTCTGCCTCCCGAGTGCTGGGATTAAAGATGTGTGCCACCGCTGCCTGGTGACAATTATAGTGTTTATTGATAAAACATCTTATGAACATAGTTAGGATTTCTGAATGTATAAAAATACTTGGAATCTTGTTAAGTTTCAAAATGAATTGCATATTTCTTTCTGTATGATTTTGTTATTACTTTTAATAAATCATTTAGTCTGTTTTATGCAGTAATGCACAATCAAATGATTTTACTGTTTAAACATCAATACTCAATGGAAATACTCCAATTAAAGCTGTCAAGTAGCAGAAATAATTTATGCATTGGTGGAAAATTTTAGACTGATGTTGGTAGTTTTTCTTTGAAAACTCACTGTGTATATGTGTGTGTGTGTATCTGTGTGATATAAATGTGTGCACATATCCCAAAATATGCATCTAAAGATCAGAGGACATCTGGGAATGGAACTTAGGTTGTTGTGCTTGTCCAGCAAGTATTTTTTACATAATGATCCACTTGTTGACCTATACTGTTGGTAGCTTCTTTGGCATCTTTGTGTATGGTAGTCACCAATTTCAATATGTGTTCATTTTCCAAGAACCTGTGTAAAGGCTTTTGTCTTTGGCATCTAAGTTTCATTATAATATAAACTTCTTATATATGTGTAAAATATATATTGCATGGTATCATATATTAGACTTATGGTTAGATGTGATGAATGTTGAATATTTTGGTAATTCTTTTAGTTTTGTACAATGCATTTTGATAATTCAGTGATATTTTAATATAAGAAAAAAACAACCTGTCATTAGTAATAGGAAGGATTTAAAACCCTCATCTTGGCTGAAATTTTGTGCTTTTTTGGTCTTAAATTATTAGAGTTATACTTTCTATTTTAAGACTAAGAACTTTAACAGTATTATGTGGGCTGGGCAGTGATGGTGAATGCCTTTAAACCCACACTCTGTTGGCAGAATTCAGGGCCAGCCTGGTCTACAGAGTGAGTTCCAGGACAGCCAGGGCTCCATAGAAAAACCCTGTCTTGAAAAACAAAAACAAACAAATTCTTTGTGTAGGCTGGTGTGTTAGCTTCTGTTTTGTGATAGTAAGGATCAGACTTGGGGGCCTTTGCCTGTTAGGGTTGTGCTTTATTAGTGAGTTATATACCTGACCCTGGAGACTACTTAATTTTACTTTTGTCTGAGCATCCCCATTCCTTTACACTTGAGTAATAAAGAAATCAATATCATATATAATTTTCCTCCTAATATTGGCTTTCATTTTTTAAATCCCTATTGTGTGGTAGACATGTAAATAAACTACTATAGATTATATATCGCTTAACCTGCAGAATCATTTGATAAAATTGTCCCATTTTAGATAAATAAGCTTGTAGAAGTAGCAAAGAACAGGGGATATAATTCATTTGTAGAGCACCTTCCTAAATATGCATGAGGCCCTAAGTTTGAGCTTTAGCACCACACATACACACTCTTAATGATACTAAGGATCGTTTAGAGATTTTGCCAGGTTAGGTAGTACAAATTCAATTCAAATATTCAAGAAGTTGAATAAAACCAAGATGCAAATCAAGGTCTCTGATTCCAAAGCCCTGTTTCCAAAGCCTGTTATTGCATTAAGCTTTACATATACTGTTGCATCCAGTATTACACTCCACTGCTGCCCAGTTTATACTCTCATTTATACATGTAATTGAACTTTTTCTATTTTCTGAAATAACATTATTTTCTAAGAAATTACTTATTAGGATGCTGTTAATTTCTTTATAAACCTTTCTCTCCATTTCACTTTCATTTGAAGTTTCTTTCTCCCCATTGAGTTGACAGAAGCCAAAATCTTTTTGGATGCTGAGTTAAGACACTAAAAGTAAAGTACCTAATGCCTTTGATTCATGTAGAATAGAATAGTCATGGGCCAGTGGTACAGCGCATCTGGTAAAGGGATTTCTCACTCAAATGACAAGTGTTAGATCTGTGTTTGACCCATTTATCAGAGTTTGATCTGTGGAACTCATGTAAAGGTGTAAGGAGAGAACTTTTTCCCTAAAGCCTTTGACTTCCACATGTACACTGTGGCATATGCCTTCATTCCTTTTATACCTGCACATATATGCATCCACTATAATGATAACAAGTTTTTAAAAATCTTAAAGCACGGGACTGGAGAGATGGCTCAGAGGTTAAGAGCATTGGCTGCGTTTTCAGAGATCCTAAATTCAATGCCCAGCAATGACATGGTGGCTCACAACCATCTTTAGTGAGATTTGGTGCCCTCTTCTGACCTTCAGGGAGAGATTCATGCAGGTACACATGCAGGTACACATAATAAACAAACAAACAAACAAACAAGTAAATAAGTAAACAAATCTTTAAAAAAACTTAAAGCATACCATGTGTGCCAGAGATTTCCCCAGTTTCCTTTAGAGACTACAAAGTAAAATATGAAGTAGGTTCAGGTGAAGAATATTTTTTAACAAGATGTGAGGTCAGATAAACTTGGGCAGTCAGTGCTGTACACTGATTTCCTTTGTCAAGCTATATATTAGTCTCTTTGAGACTCTGAGAAGTATTTTTGGAAAGAGTTCCTTTTAATGTTAGCTTAGTAGGATTTTATAAACTTACTCACATCATTATTTACTGAAGTATCTTTTCTCTAGCTCAGTAGCAGTTTACTTTTCTGAGTGTCATTCTTTCTTGTTTCTTTAATAATTTGGGAATATTAATCTATTGTTAGTTCTTACTGTGAGTTTGAAAGGAGAATCATATCTACAGCCATTATATACTGTGTAAACTGCAGTAAAATTGTTATTCAGAAAGCAGCTATTTCTGGAAGGAATGTGCTTCATATGTGGATTCTTGGATTAGTTTTCAAGAGACATGAAATTCCAGTTGGACCTCATTCTACTTTTAGGTAACAATTTAATGTTCTTTTTCCATTATTCTTGTCTCTGTTTTTAACAGCTATTTTTAAATGCTCACAGTATGGTAGCAGACAAGAACGAGAAAGACCTTGCCAACCAATTACTGACAGAGATAAGTGAGGACCAGGTATCTACAAAGCCTGCATCTTGTTTCAGCTGAAGTCCAGAATCAGTCAATGGGTTAACTATTCCTGTGCTTTTCTTCTTATTTTTCCAAAAAAGAAAAAAAACCCCTCTGATTCTAGTAATTATTTATTTTTGAGGATTATTACAATTAAAAGATAAACCTTCATTACAATTCTGTGTTAATGTGTGCCTTTTTTCAATTTGGGAAGATAAAAAGTACAGGAATGGATCCCAGTATCACTGTTGACCCACCTGGTGATGCCTTTGTTCGAGGGGCTTCTTTTTCTAAGCACTGTGGTGTATTGGGACATGAGGGCGTTGTTTCTGAATATGCACAGTCATTGTCAATATCTTGATTCTTTGCTTCTTATTGACATAATGATTATAATTTAATGGACAACCTGAATCTTGGAGGAAGGGAAGAAGATGATGAGCCCCTTGAATATTAGTTTAGCATACAATTTTATTTTTTCTGTTCTCAAAATTCAACCCTATATTGGAATATCAAAATATATTTGGTAAATTAATTTGGGAAAAACCAAAAACCTACCTGTAAATTTGCTTTTTTTCCTCAACATAGTTTGCTAGAGAATTTATATATCTTTTGTTAAAATTATTTTAATTGGTGTAGGAGTTCCTTCTGTTTGTGTATTGCTTTCATTGGTTAATGAATAAAGAAACTGTTTTGGCCTAGTTGATAGGATGGAACTTAGGTAGGTAGAGAAGACAAAACTGAATTCTGGGAGAAAGGAGACAGAGTCAGGGAGAAGCCATGGTCCTTCACCAGATATGGAAACTGGTTAGAATCTCTGGTAAGCCACTGCCACGTGGCAATACACAGATTAATGGTGACGGGTAAACGGGTTAAGAGTCAGCCAATAAGAAGTTAGAGCTAATGGCCAAGCAGTGTTTTAATTAATACAGTTTCTGTGTTTAATTCGGATGTAAGCTGGCCGGGCGGCCAGAACAAACAAGCGGCCTGCTCCCTACACCACTTAATGTTACGTTTACTGAGCTGTAGAAAAAGAGTATTGTAATCTGTTGATTTCTATTTATGGGTGTAAAATAGAGATTCACAGAGCTCTTTATTGCTTTAGATTCTTTCTATTTATACTCTCTTAAGGGCTTCTTAAATATATTATAATTTCTTACAAAAGATTATGGTAATTTAAAAAGTAGCTATGATGAGGTCTTTTTAGTTTGTTCTTGAACAAAGTCCACCACAGATCTTATTCGTATGAATCTTGTGTATACAGAATTTAAATTTATAGTTTACTACAGATGTTTTCTTGTGTAAAGTCAGGACTCTAGACTAAGTACCACACAAAAAAGTAATAGAACTTAGTAAACCTAAAGAGCTAAAGAGTTTAAGAGAATGTTATTATGTGAGTGACTAGCTTAAGGTCATAATAATATTGCATGTTTTATTTTTAAATCATAGTCATTTTTAAGTATGTCTCTCAGTGTGTGAGAGTGGAGTGCACTCAGAGGCCAGGAGAGGTCATCACACCTCCAGGACTAGAGTTACAAACTGTTGTGAGCTGCCATGCGGGTACTGGGAATTGAATCCAGGTCCTCTGCAAGAGCACCAATGCTCTTAACTGTTGAGTCATCTCTACAACCCCAGCTTTCTAGTATAAAGTCTACAAAGGTTAGTTAAGTCTTATAAAGCAACCATGTTAAATTTTTAACTTCTTAATTTTTATTTTTTTAGTATTATTGATGGTACTTATTGATTTATTCTCTAGGAGAATATCTCATGATAGCTAATGCATATTATAATTATGATTAATCTTAAATAAAAGTCAAGTGAGTTTTTAATTCTTCCATAAAACTTTTGACATGAAAGATTGTCTTCTCCAAAGCATACCACTACTTATATATACACATTTCATTTTCATCATTTGCTTCAAATTATTTATAGAAATAGATATGCCTGTTTAACAATGATATGTCCATATCATTTCCATTTCTGTACAGAATTCGGAAACCAAGAAAACAGTTATTTAAGCTGTTTCATTTTACATGTTAACTATTTAAGCCTAGTAAGTTCAAGTATTTTTAAAGGGAAATTAAAGCATAGTATAAATTCTAATTGCAGACCTCCCTCCTCTCCTCTTGAGATTGTCCATTATTTTTTAAAGGCATGTGTAAAGTTTGTTTTTCCCCTCCCCCTCAGAAAAGTTAATATTAAGTGAATGTGCTTCATTCTTCTTGACATGTGGTGTATCTTCTCTTAATTAAGAAACTTTTTCTTGCAGATAATATTGTTTCAACAACCCATCTGGTAGAAAGAGGAATACAATGCATGTTATTATTTCTTCAGGTTTTCAGAACAAAGGTTTCCATGTGAACAAAATCCTGAGTACGTTTGTTAATTTCTTGCTGTTCCCTTTGTTAGGTATTTCAGGGGCGGTTAGATTGTTTGGCTGTATCAACAATTCAAGCTTTGACAGCAGTGATGAAGAATTCTCCAGCTGCTAAGGTGAGAAGTGGATTTTTTTAAGCTTTAAAATATGTTTATTACATTAATTTTTGTTGTGTGAATTCCAAAGCCCGCTTGTTCGTCCCGGCTGCCCGGCTACCTTAGCTACAAAATAACCACACAGAAACTATATTAATTAAATTACTGCTTGGCCCATTAGCTCTAACTTCTTATTTGCTAGCTCTTACATCTTAGTTTAATGCATTTCTGTTAATCTGTGTATCACTACGTGACAGTGGCTTACCAGCTAAGTTTTGGCAGCATGTCTTACTCTGGCGGTGGATGCATGGCTTCTTTCTGACTCTGCCTCCTTTCTCTCAGCATTCAGTTCTGTCTTCCTTGCCTACTTAAGTTCTGCCCTATCAGCCGGCCAAGGCAGTTTCTTTATTAACCAATGAAAACAACATAATGCACTTCCTGTTTATTGAGGTGTAACATGAGGGCCGGGCTCGTTAGGATTTCTGTCCCACCCGGTCCCCCAGCACTTTAGTCCCAGAGAAAATCACACAGAGATCTCCATAAGTTATAAAACTGATTGGCCCATTAGCTCAGGCTACTTATTAGCTCTTATAACTTATATTGACCCATTATTCTTTTTTTTTTTTAGCTTGACTGATCTTTTTTTTTTTAATTGAGAATAGGAAAAAAAAAGTTTCCGCCTCCTCCCAGCCTCCCATTTCCC